GAAGTCTCCCTTTTGATACAATCGATTCTGTTCGATTTTTGGAGGAGCAAACCCTGGGTTGCTGACCAGTCGGATACCATGGCATTTGCCACCCCTCGCGTGAGTGGAAAGTTTTGGCAGCGAATAGACATGACCATTGCAGTCGTCAGACATAAAAGATTATCGCAAATGCTCAGAGATGAGGAATACGGCGAATACGGAAAGCCTTGCTTTGTCTTTGCGATTCTCAAGACACCGATCCAAAATGATCTCGACATCTCTACATTGGCTCTAGACCTGTCCAATTCGAGAAATCCACAGCTTGTCTCTTGAGGCTTTGGCTGGTGGTGTCCTCGGAAACACAGAGTTTGCAGCGGTTCTATCCTTTGGAAATCAAAGTTCTTGCATACGTGTTTTTTAAAAGACTCCGTGGGCTGTATCTTGCAGCCCGTGTTTCCCTGTTTCTGCAACTTTGCCATGGCGTCACCAATTTTCTTTGATTACCCGTATCACAGTGCAAACCAAGAACCCCCAAGCATAGGGCGCCATGGGAACCTGCGCGGATTTCATCGCAACACTTCTGGCTTTGGCACGGCGCATGGCGAATCATCGCTTCCCCGTCACACCATGTCACACCATGTCACACCCACCATCTCTGACCGCCTCCGGAATCGGTGGAGCCATGGAACCTTGGAGGCTTTGACAGTAAAAGAGAGCCGCTGTGGTGGCAGCGGCAGCGAAGGCGCTGATGGCCTGCGACGCGACATACGGGACATGTGGGACACGGGAAGCATACTCAAGCAACACATGCAGTCCTCGTCAGAATTTCAACGGAGATGGCACGAAGTTTTTAGGGACCAAAGAACTAATTAGAGTAACTATTACAGGAACTATTGATAACTATTGTAGAATTAAGATGAATTGAGATCAAAGATGAACAAAGATCCACTTCATCTGTTTCAGTTTCTCTCGGGATTCCCTGTGCGCCCTGGAAGCCTCTGGATTCTTGAAAGTGGCATCCTGCATCGCGCGGGTCCAAACGGAAAATTCCTCCCTCCTTTCCGTGTCTTTTCGTCACCACAAGATCTCCAAGGGCCAGTGTCGGTCCTGCCCCGTGCCAGACCTTAGAGGCAAAAGAGTGTCATGTCTGGTGTTTTCACACTGCATCTGAAAGAGCAGAGAGTAGATAATGCAGTGATGCACATGATATCATATGATAGTATGCTATGATATCATATGATAGTATGCCAAGAAATGTATTAAAAAATATTAAAAATGCTTGCAAAAAATGTCAAAGGATATCGAAATGACAGAAAGTTCGGACAGCCCTGACTCTGTCGCGCTTCTGTATGGCCCAGACTCTGCAGTCTGCTGGATCTGCTGCTGTACATGCGCCTGTAGATCATAAGATGGATCTGGATCGTTCACCTAGAAACTCGTAGATTTTAACAATAGGTAAACACTAAGTCAACACGGGTAAAATTCACTGTTAAAATCGCGTTACTATAATTGATATATATTTTGAGGTATTGATTAACACATTGTGTTTGCCGTAGCGCCTAGACTCAACAAAACATGAAGCACTGTCAATGAAAACTGCGAAGTTCCAACTGCAAACATGCAAAATCAATGGACTGGCTGACAATGGCAACAAATGCAAACATGTGAAGTGCAACTCACGATAGCATCCAGCATGCAACTCACGCTCCAACAGCAGATCACACGTGCATCAAATTCTGACCGCTTTACCGCATCAAAATGCAAACAAGGTGAATCACCCGTGCCTGCACTGCATACATCACCTGCAAACAAGGTCGATCACCCGTGTATCAGGATCAGTGAACGCATCTGTGTAACTCTCAAGCTACTTGAGAGCACCCTCCCGTATCTTCAGTTTCAAATCGATCCAAAGCTCTTCAAAAGATGGGAACTCTGCAAAGAGGCACTGTGCACGTTGGGCCCCCCAAAAAAAATATAAACATGACAAACTTAAAAATTGGACTGATGTGCTTACAACTTGCAACTGAATGCCGTAAGCACTTCTGGGTTTGGGGGAGTGCTCTCAAAGGCGTTAACAACCCTCAAAGGTGTCGTGCTTGCGCCTTACAGGCACAAGCACTTGAGACTAAAAACCAGGGACAGTTTCCCTTCACCATTTCAAAATCTTTGATCATTTGGCCTCCAATCATTCACCTGATAGAAATGCTGGGCCGAAGCCCGCCCCAAGAATAGAACAATTCCCAAAGAGGGTCTTTCATATTTCGAGATATTTCGAGTGTACCCGAAGAAGACATGAATTATGCAGAAGACAACCGACAGAAATGGCATAGCATGGCATAGCACCTGCTGCTGAATCTGCTGCATCTGCATCTGCTGCATCTGCATCCTTGGGAGTTGCAAAATCAACTAATGGGAGAATAAAAATCTCGGAAGCGAAGGCAAATGCAAAATATTGCAAAATAAGCAAGGAAGAACAAAATCAAGCACAACGGTTCACAGCGACGTGAAGGTCAAGGAAAAGGAATTCGTGCTGGAGATCTGTTGTGACAGAACGAAAACTGCGAAAACAGCACCATAAAACCGTTGAAACCATAAAACTGTTGAACCCATGGCCAGGCAACTGCAGAAAACCCGGCGGCTGGAATTGCCTTAGTCTTTGGACTTCGCTGAATTCAGCAAGATCTTTCCACGCCAAAGTGTAGATTGCAAAGCAGGTCTTACTAAATGCCTTTGCAAAAATTGCTGAGCTGCGTCTGTCCGTGTCTGTCCATGATGTCAGCTCTGTAGAGCAGTTTTCAGATCTTTGATGATATTTGCCTAGATCTTGCAGCTGCTTACACTTGTAATGAAGCTGTCAAAAGCCTTCCAAAGCTCTGCTGAGATTTGGACGCTGTCTGAGTTGTGTCCTGGGCCAAGTTGGGCTTGAGTCAGTCGCTGTTAGAGCAGGAAAGGACCAAAAATCACAAGGCAAAGCCAAAAATGCCAAGAGGAGAATGGTTGGAAATTACCTGTCGAACATTTGGTCTGGTTGCCATGTGAAACAAGACGGTTGACAGCACAAGATGGGGCTCCTCGTTTGCAACACCATTCTGGCACAAGCCCAGCGCCTCCTGAATTTCCCATGCTGTCCAATCTAATGGCAGATCAGCTCACCAAACGTATCACAGAGGTTGGCCAATGTCGCAAAGTATATTTATAGTATAGATCATTATTGATAAATATAATATGTATATATATATATATGGCATATATATATATATGGCATATATATATATATGGCATATATATATGGCATATATATATATGTGTGTGTGCCATGTATAAATAAATATATATTAAATTATATATAAATACATCGTCATGTTATATGTATTACACTGAAAATTGCAGTACTTCCGTGTCAGGCTGAAAGCAAAGTCCACCGTGTGCAAGGCATGTCGCATGTTTTTGCTGAGTAGCAAAGACTGGATCCGCAGACGGCTCCATCACCTGGGACATTGTCACCGCATGTTGACAAGACATGACATAGGGAAGATTCGACAAACACAGGAAGTCACAAAATATGCAGGATCGGATCAAGAATCAGGATCAAGCATCAAAACAAGGCAAGGGAGGACTCTGACTCCACAGCTTGTGAAGACAAGACATGGGACGACATGGGAAACATTAGGAAACATCAGTCTGTGCCTGTCAAGCATTGCTACCCTTGCTGGGGCAATGAGGCAATGACAGAATGATTTGTCCAAGTCCCGCGATCCCCGTTGAAGAACGGGCAGTGTCACTGGCACACTTGGCACGCTTGAACTTAAACACTGCGGGAGCAATCAATGCAATCAAGGTTGCAGAGCAATAAGGAGCAAAAATGTCTAAAAAATAGGTCTGTCCCGGCCCATGGAGCAGGTGGAAGTGCACTTCTTCAATTGCACATCACTTGGACTTCAAGACTTCACGGCCATTTCTACCACAAAAAAAAAGAAAACTCGGGTGCTACTGCTAAAGAGCAATCTGGTATCCAGATTTGCTCGGAACGTGCAGAGCAAAAGGTGCAGAATAGTGCAGAATGGATCAGAATGGTGCAAATGTGTTCAGCGCTTTCTGGCTGCTTTCGCAACATGAAGTCCTAATGATACTGATTCAGCGCTGCTGTGACCTGTGCGAATTTCATGCTGCACCTTTTGCGAATTTCTCTCCCCCCGCTTTTGCGGAGGGCACTATGGTGTATATTGTGGTTGCGAATTGTTTGCCAATTGGCAAGCAAGAGCAATCGAATACACTTAGCAGATCTTAGCAGACACAAACAATGCAATGACCTGATGAAACACCCTGAAGCCACGAGCAAGTAAGATTCTCAGACATTCACCAGAACAAGCTGCATGTCATTTCTCAACCAACAAAACTCTGTTTTCCAAGTTAAGATAGTTAAGTGTCTTCAGTGTCCGTAAGATGTAGAAAGATGTAGAAAGATGTAGAAAGATGGTTGAAATGTTTGAAGTTTTACAAAAAAAAATCGACGTATCACGTCGTGTTCCGGCCTCTTCTGCGAGCCATCGCCGGTCGCGTCGCCTCTCAGGTGGACAGCGCCTTGGTCTGCACCTGACACCGCTGACACCGCTGACACCACGTGGCATCTGTCATGTCACATATCGTCAGTGCACCAAATGCACCAAGATGCACCGCAAAGTGATGCAACGTGTGTTTAGAGGGAAAGGTGTGCTTCACAGTTTGTTTTCAAAAAAAGGGAGACCTATCCACATCTTCAAATTGACCCTGGGAGCAAGTGACTCACTTCTCAATGTTTCAATTCACCTGCTGAATTTCGGAGAGCTATTTCTAGAGCCAAGACACCGTCAACTTATTGTAGAATATGTCATGATTTCTAACGATTATCGAATCACTCCTGAAATTTGAACTGATATGAACTGATTTGATTTCCAATATGTTCAATATTGTTCAATGATTTCCAGTACTCATATGACATCAAGATCATCAAGTGACTGAAGTGATTTGATTTTGCTGTTCGA